TAAATAGTATCAGTTATAGGCCTGTGAAAGCGTCAAGTGGGAGGACGATTTTGAACGATAAATAGAGAATGCGTTAAGACGAAGCAATATTTGTCTTTTATAAGCTGCTGTACACCAGAATTTTGTTGGAGGATATGAGGAAAATCACGAAAATACCAGTTAGGAATTTAAGATTGATAATCTAAGTCGGGATGTCCTAACTGAACCGTCATTTCTGGCGAGTAGCAGGTCTGAAATTTCAGACCTGCTGATAGTGCCTTGCTTCATTGTACTATCGACCTGATGATGGAAGCAGCAAATATCTCTGAAACGTCAGAAAATTTCTACCAGACTACAAGGCACTACAACCTAGAAGACAGCCATTTTGTACTCGCTGCTGTGAGAACCATAAATCTTCCTAGAAGAATTTTATATTTCAGCTTTTAATTAATCAGTATTGAATATTCACAAAGGGCGCCAACCTGTGACACGCCTTGCCGAGGTGTTAAATAGTTTTCCCTGAGCAGTTTTGCAGGCAGTTGGTTTGGAAAATCACTGTTTAGTCGGCTTCGAACTTTGTGTGTTCTGTACTCAAATGGAAATTTGAGTACAGAATATACAAACACAAATCAAACCTAAAATTTGGTTACAAATTTTAACATTGACTATTAGTGAGTTTTACATATTCATTAAAAATATACCAGAGTGAGTGTGCTTTTGCGCTTGCATCCTTCGGAACATGGGAATGAAACCTGCTATCGATTTCTTGCTATATACAATGCTTAAATTTAAGCTTTCATCGCAGTCATTCCCTTGTTAAGCCCCGACCAAAGGCCACAACATACATAATAAGAAAGTTCATACCGAATAATGATAATGAAAGCATAAAAAGAAATAAACTGATTATCAGTTACCAATGAAGTCGCCCGTAGAATAGGAAGTTGCTGTTGAGTGATTTGGACTGCTTTATATCTGGGAGGTCCAGGTTTCCTGCGATGCACTATGGTTTTCAGTTTTTCCTGAAGGGAAAAGAAAAGAATTCAGGTTAAAGGCATCTGTAAATAATGTTGTTTATTGCTTCAAGGTTATAGTAAATTCTTGTTGTTTAAAATGCAGAGAAACTGTTCTAAATTTAAGAATTAAATTCACAACAGGTTGAGAATATATGAGGGAATAGTTCTGAACATATATCGATGATGGTAGTAGCCAATAAAAGGTGCAGTTGTCTGAGTAAGTCTTCTAAAGCATTAAGAACGGGTTTCTTTCTCTAATTTTTTTAAGAAGTAGTAAGCATGAATTTGAAGACCAGTTCACAGTAGTACTCAGTGAACTTTATACGTTTATGAAGTATCTCCATACATAGACCACACTGTCTATACGAGTGAAAAATTGACTTGAACTTCAAACAGAAGTAACCATCAGCGCAGATTCACAGCCGCTCTAATACGCGGTGTAAAAAACATCTGATGACTTTCAGTTCTCCATTAGTTTTGTAGTGTTGAGTTTCATACTTGTGTTTTTAGTATTTCCTACATTATACAGAATTTAGTATATTAGCCGGGTCACTGGCAACACAGCCGTAGTATCAGATATCATGCTGATTGCTCCAAAAGTGGGACCATTTCTAGTTTGGAGAAATGTTTATTGGACAGAATTCAACATGGCGTAACTGCTTCAAAGTCGAGTGAATTCTTCGCTCAGGCAAACTGTGCTTCTTTGTTGACATTTCTTAACTCTGTAACTGTGAGATAACATTTGAGTGTATTTTGGCGTATAAATTACCCATTGCAATAACGATCGATAGGTACGAACCGATTTTTTCCGTTCACAAAGCACACAATCCGTAATTTTCAATGTCTTACGAAAATTATGCCAAGACGCCCTATATAAATTTTATTCTGTATCCATTTATGTGAGCTTTTCGTAATGAAGCTCAGTTCAATATCAATATTATTCAGTAGGATTTGAGGTTCTCACGGCGGTGAGTACGGAGATGGCTGTCTTATGGACACTACATGGCTCTGCAACCCAGAAGACAGCCATCTTTCTATTATTCGGGTCCAGGACTGTATTCGTTTGGACAGATGGGGGTATATAATGATGCATTTAGAGGATTATCATCATTTTGGACCTTCGAAGAGCTATTCTCTGCAACGAGTGCAGCACGCTTCTTCTTTGTGTATGCGCCGTTACGTTAAGCGCAGAGTGAACCAGTAGCAGCTGGTTTTCTACTGTGCTTCTCTTGTCGGTCTATTTGTGCCAAACGTGAATCCTGTCGGCATGTTTGAACTCTCCCCTAGATAATGGACAATTCC